TTCACACCACACCCTTTGGTTTCATAGATCTCTTGACTATCTCTTGGTTACTCTGTCTCTTGCCTCCAGCCCCAGCTTCAGGGATTTGCCAGCAGTGTTCATGTCCCAGGTGTATTGCTGCTGTGAAGACTTTAGAGGCATTGCCCTGGGAACATACGGTCAGATGCAGCAGTAACAAGTGCAGTACCTCACTGAGAGCCAGAGGCAGACATGGGTAAAAGCCATTAATGTTTTATATTACTCCTATTTATCATTAGCAACTGTTGATTAAGTAAGTAATATGACTGATCTCAGGCAATAAATGCAGCTGTGCTCTGAAGCACTTGCAGTCCAGAAAGACAAACAGCATGTAAAGTGTAAGGGGCAAGGGATGAATATATATTTTTTGAAACAATACCATCTATTTTTACTGGCCCTCTGCCTGGCCATTATTAACTCACAGAACTTTGTAGGCATCCAAGTTGGATCTTCCTGCTGTTACTGGAAAATTTTTCTTGGCTCAGGTATGGAAATAATTTCCTTTCAAACTCAACACTATGTTGTTACAATATCCATTTTGATAATCTAATGGTCAAATGTGATGATTGTCTCTTGGAGCACCTCACAGGGACACTATTGTTGTGTGATAGTGACCTTACATCTGGGAACAGCCTTGCTTAGGGCTTCCCAAATCTATCTCTTACAAGAGAGACTGCATGACTCTTACAAGTCATGCAACTTCTGACTCTTTGCACTGCTGTGGCATGACCCTGACACTGCAAATATTCTTCTGCATTATGCAAGGGTTTCACTACAGAAGGAGGATTATGTGAGGTCATGGCTAGAGTCTGATCCTGCCTCAGTCCCAGATGTACAAGCAGAAAACTGTTGAGTGGATTAATATGTAAGTGGCTTTTAGAGGCAACTGCCCTCTTATCTGACATTGCTAGGTGAACAGATGCTAGATGTTGCTAGATATTGCTAGGTGTTGCTGGATGGCCCCAGTCTGTTCAACAACCATCTGCATTAACTTATAGTATAACCTTGGACAAGAGCAGCCAATGGGACCAGCCCACCTTTGTCACACACATGGGCTTATTTTTACTTCTTTAGGCATGTACACATTACTCTATTTTTATCCCTTGACAGCATCCCTTGATAGCTAATCTCATCTCCTCTTCATCAACCAAAAAAAAAAAAAATCTAGTCAGAGGAACCATATCACTTCTAACAGGAAACTGTACAAGCCCCAGTTGATTTGCTACAACAGAAGACACACAAAAGCAGAAAACATTGATAAAAGCAGGTGTGTAATGTAGGTCTTTCTTTCAAGCTACACAAGTGGACTTCCCTGGCAGAATGGAGCTGCTGGAGGAGATCTTTCACTGCCTAAATTAATGTTTCCAGCTTCATTTCATTAGCACTCTAGTATCACAAGTAGCAAAATTTCATCTACCACATACATAGGTGCCTATGAAGCCTACATGCCCCTGTTAGAGCAAAGGGTTAAAGAGTCATTCAAATATCTTGTAAAAACTATTACTGCTGATAAATATGAATTCTGTGGGGTTTTTGCCTATAACTGTCTTGTTAAAATGAAAATCAAGCCATACCATATTGTCAGGTTTCCCCTCCATCTCCTTATCCATTGCTATTTTCACTCTTACCAGTTGGTAAGAGTGAAACCTGCTTTGCTTTGTCAGCAGTTATCTTGCTAAGCCAGAGAGAAAGAAAGAGTCTCAGGTCTTGATTATCTTGACTTTGGAAATTAATGTTGCCATCAAGTGAAGTGTGAACATAATGAAAGCAAACTTGACTTTCAGAAAAATCAGTGAGCTGGAGGCAAGTATTTACATCCTTTTGGACTGAAATCAGGCAAGTTCAGGGAATGTAGGAATAACTATTTGTTGTATATAATAGGAGCACATCAGAGCAAGAGTCTTCCCAGATGTGCTTTGGATCACCTCTAAAGGGTTTGGGAAGGCCTGTGGAATGGCAATTAGAAAACTGACAAGTGGGCAAATGCAGAAACAAGCTAAAAGGTAGATATCTGCCTTAACTCTGTTAACTGCATGAGCTGTTTGGGCTGGGGGAGAGCTAAAGTCTGATTAGAACATTTCTGCTCTGTAACATTTCAAAAGAAAGATTATATCTGCCTCTGCTCCCCAAAGAAAGGAAAGAGTGACCAACAGCAGAAAAGCTCAGAAGGTGAGTGGGAGTCAAATGATCTCGTGCTGTTGGTGGCAATAGTGGATACAGGGTGAGGAACATTGATGTGGACACAGTGCAGAATGATGTCTTGGTAAAGTCCATTCATCATGGCTTTAAGGATCAGTACTGCAAAGATTTTAAGCTCTAATAGCTCATAATATCACTATCTAAAGTTCTGTCTAGACTTGGGAGACCAAGGACAGATTGTCCTAGATTAGACTGGTTTCAGGGAGATTAGATAAAGTCCTTCGATTTTTTTTTCTTTTACTTGTGATATTAACGAAATAGGGCTCTTGGGATATCATTAGATCAGTTAGCACCTGCTCAGGTGCAAATGTGAAGACATATGGAATGCCCTTAACAACATCAACAAACTATATTTTTCCTCAAAAGGATTCAGTACGTGCTAAACTGTCAAGGCCAGAGATCTCTTCATCCTGAGTGCTTAGGGGTAAATGATTTTAACTTAGATTTCATTTACATCGCTGGATCTTGCGCCTTTCCAGACAGTTAAGACAAGCAAGGCTCCAACGGGTGAAAATGAGAGGGAGGAGGTTCCAGTAACTCAATCTTCTCTCCAGCACCTTGAGGAGTTACAATTTTAAGGCAGCTAAAGTACTTTTGTACTACTGCAGGGCATCTAGTCAGTCTGGAAGAAATCAACACGTCAAGAGAACTTCTTCAGTAGGTGTTAAATGCTCCCATCCTTTCAGCAGGAGATTTTTTTAAATGAAAACACCTCTGGGGATGAGTACAGGAAGAAAACAATGCCGTGCTGAGGGGTGTAAACGGCTTCATTCTCTTTGATGGGTCCTCATCCTCCCTGCCTGGGATTTCTTGCTTACAGTCCGTGATCCTGTCAGGTGTTAGTAGCTGACACAGCGAGACTTTGGGGTTGTTTGCATCATGTAGTTACGTCATAGCTGTCAGTAAGACGGTAACAGAGAGAAGGGCTCAGGCAGTTTTAATATACCAGAGACCCTAGATCCTGCAGCCCCTGCTCCTTGAGAACACCCAAGGCTCAGTGGAAATGTTCAACCCTCCCTTTTCCTCCTCTCTTCCTTCCCCACGTGCATCTTTTTCTGAAGAGAGAAGGACCATCAAACTGGCATCAGACCACTGGCCACTGAGATCAGACAGGGAGAAGGGAGAGAACTTGGGATGCCTGCAGTGGCAAGAGGATCCATCAGATCTTCTTTCCTGTAAAAGAAAGGTATGCAAAGACTCCCAGTTTACTTGGGAAAGTATGTAGAGAATCCATGAGACAGCTGGAGAGGCAAGGACCTTCATTGCCTTTATTTTCATGAAGGAAAGCAGATATTACACACACACACACAGACACACAGACACAGACACACAGACACACAGACACACACACACACACACACACACACTTCATTCCTAGCATGCATTGGCTTTGACAGCATGCCCCAGATTTCCCTTTTTCCATGACATCCTCACCTCATCCTGTCTCATGTTTCTGCCTCCTGAACTCCTCTTCCTGCTTGGGAAAATATGGGATAACTTTACCCAAATACCCTTTCTGTCTCAGTGTGTGTTTCCTTTACTGCCTGCCCAAACAAACAAAACCACATAAAATTCCTTTTTAATTTTCCAAACTAGTTTAAGTACTATTTGATCTGCATTTCTGACTGGGTTCGTCAGTTAACAAGCAGTTATGGTGCTTGTCAAAATGCATATTGCTAGCGATGGAGTGAGTGATTTTAACAATCAATGCAATTTTAGGAAGCAATCTCCTTTGTCCTCTTCTTAATACTGTTACACTTATTACTTCTGCTGCCTTTACTTAGTAAAAGTTATTGTAGAAACCTGGACAAGAAAGATGTTATCTCTTTCTGACTCTCAGTCAATAGAAACCTTCTCTGTATTATTGGGGGGAAAAAACCAAAAAAAGCTTGGAGATATATTCTTCCAGCACTTTCATCTGCATTTGCAGTAGGTATCTGAATGTCAAGGTCACACATTTATTTTAGACTTTTTAGCTGTTAGCCAAATAGCAGCAGTAGAATTTGATCATTAGATACTCAAACCCAAGAAAAATGGCCATATGGCTATATGTTATTAAATGTTACAAAGAAAGAAGAGAAGAAAGCAAATCCCTGCATATCTGTTCAGTACTTAGAGAAATTTCATCCAAAAAATTCAATTAGTTCCTCGCACATGTCACATGGACACATCAGTTTCACTGCTCCAAGTCAATGAGGCTGAGAGACCGCAGAGCATTTGGGAAGGAAGAGGCCGGGTTTGGTGTGGCAGCAGCATCATCAGCATCCCTCTGCAGCATTTAGGGAGGAAGAGGCTGGGTTTGGTGCGGCAGCAGCATCCCAGCATCCCCACCCATGCTCTGCTCAGGGAGGTGACTCCCAGCTCCTCCCCAGCTGTGTCTAGACAGTGACAATGACAGTGCACAAGCTCCCAGCACTGAATGAGACTTCAACAGCTGCACCTAATCATGTTTTTGATCTACAAGAAAATTAAAAATATATGAATCCCTGAATCTTAGGTGTGAGAGAGTTTTGTTTTGTTGTTTTGTTTTTGTTTTTGTTTTTTTTTTCTCTGAAGAGAACTGTCACAATAAAAAAGTAATTAATAATGTATTTTGCTGTTAGCATCTTTATAAAGAATTGATTTTTCTGGCGTGAATTTGGGGTTTTCTCCAAGATAAGTTGCTCTTTGAATAATTTACAATACTACCCTAGAGCAAACTGAGATTTATACCAGAAACAACAAATAATATTTTTAAAGGTAAATTGAATCACATGCCATTATTCTTGTGTAAGGCTCTTTATTTAAAACACACCTTGCTCATTTCAGCAATACAAGTTATAATTAAATCCAAATACTTAATTTATGTAACAGTAGAATTACTACAGGGAAACAAAACAAAAAGAAATTAAAAGGAGGAACAAAAGGAGAATTCAAACAAGACTTGTTTGAAGAAAAACTGCATTGCCCCCTCCAAAAAATGAAGCAGTTACTTACACTTCCAACATTAGGACTTGGCAGACCTAATACTAGATCATCTTTTTTCTAGTAAAACAAGCATTTCAGAGGAACACAAATGACCTTTCTAACAGCCCCAAAACAACAATGTCTTTTTAATGTGTACATGTTAAAAAGGCATATGTATGATACAAATTTCTTCATCATTACATTACATGTTTTCTCACTTGGCCCCATAATTTTGTGACCTAAACAGTGCCAGCCCAGACAGTCTGACCTTTAGTAAAGTTTTTACTTGAGCCCAGCTTAATTACCCTTCAGCTCAGTGCGAGAAATTATATGGCTATAAACTACGAATGAAACATACATTTATATTATCAACTATTCCTTCATAGGACATTTTAAAAGAGCCTTATAAAGCTTATTTAATTTTTTTAAGTGAGAAATATCAGTTCTTCATTTAATTTTTCCTTATGAAATTTGTTGTCGATTTGCACAGGCAAGATGTGGCCCACAAGTGGAAAAGAAAACTCATACAGGAAGCAAATTTCTTCTTTGAGAATAAATAGCAATATTATGGTGGCATTTATCAGGCAGGAATAAAGACAGTATTTTGTTTGCTCTGCCACCTGTCTACATTAAGGCAAGAATTTATGGCTTCTATTAGCACATATTTGTCTGGATGTACATACACCAGTGGCCATCATAAAAGTAACTAAAAGGGTTTAAAATACAGAAGCCAAACGCTCTTAAAGGTGATGTTCAGAAGATTGTTAAAAATAAGTCTGTCTTTTCTTCTTATTTAATATGAACCAAAATTACATAGGAGGATTCTTTTACTTCTATTTTAGCAGGTTCAAGATAAAAAAAAAAATAACAAAAATTTAAATAACTTTTTAAAAAGCACCAAAATGCAACATGCTATACTATGTATGATATATCTATATGTTTTCATCAGAAAAGAAAGTAGAAAATGTATTTATTTACTCTGTTATTCCACATTTGGTGCTCACTATATTCTTATTAGTGCATATTCAGGCCTAAAAGAAGCACCAGGAGTGAGGTAGCTCTGTGACACAAAGAATTTATCCCTCCCTGGTATTTCTGCCTGAAGGGAGAAGGTAACCTTTCTGTAGCTCTGAATAACTTCCCTGGATGTCATGGTTTAAGCCCAGCCGTCAACCAAGCCCCTCACCAAGCTTGCTCACTTCCAGGTGGTAAGATTGGGAGAGGGTCAAAAAAGCAAAAATGACAAAACTCATGGATCGAGACAAAACCAGTTCAATTGGGATAGGAAAAGCCACACAAATAAAGCAAAATAAGGAATTCATTCACCACTTTCCATGGGCAGACAGGTGTTCAGCCATCTCAGGGAGAGCAGGGCTCCATCACATGTGGCAGCAACTTGGGAAGATAAATGTGACCACTCGAAACATTCCCTCTTCCTTCTTCTTCCCCCAGCTGTATATACTGAGAATGATGCCATGTGGTTTGGAATATGCCTGGGGTCATTTGGCATCAGCTGTCCTGACTGTGTCCCTTCCCAACTTCTTGTTCCCTTCCATTATCCCTCCTTGCTGGTGGCATAATGTGAAGAGCAGAAAAATCTTTGACTCTGTGTAAGAACTGCTAAGTAGCTAAAACATCTCTTTGTAATCAACAGTTTCCAGCACAAATCCCAAACACAGCCCCATAACTACCTTCTGCTGAGAAAATGAACTCTATCCCAGCCAGAACCAGCCCACAGAGTAATAGGGACTGTGCAGGAAAAGAAAATTGTAATTAAAAATGTAGGAAATATATTAATTAACATTATCATTACAGATCAATCATCTAGGAAGTATTTGTGTGTATAGTACTCAAAGAAAATATTCTTCTATTGTCAACAAGCTTACATTTCTTGAAATGGGGAAAAGGGCACCTGATTAACTCTCAGTCAAATGTAGAAAGAAATTGTTCACCCAGATTTTATATATTTTTGCTCTTGTATCCAAAATAGCATACTTGCTTGTACTTGAATTTCATACCCAGACTTAAAAACTGTAATAATATTTCAGTCTGACATAGAGATTAAAGTATATCAAAATATATGTGCAAATGCTAGTTTAAGCAAAGCCTTTTTCAAAAAGGGAACCTGAGGTTTCTGACCTGATATAGCTAGTAGATAGAGCAGAAAAATTGTCAGAGTAGCAATTTTGCATTTGGGCATTAGGGAACTGCAGAATTATGCTACTTTTAATTTTTTTCCATTTGCATGGACACCTTGGAAAACCAAAATTTCTAAAAATCTTTGTTTTGGATATTTAATTTATATTTACAGTAAAATAAAATTCTCCTGATGAGAGGATTGTCATTGTCTCTAAAAGCAAAACTTAGTCTATTAATCACATTTAGCTTCTGTCCAAACCACTGATGTTCCATTTAACCAACATTGTCCATGGCTATATAATACTCCTTTTCTGCCTTTTCATTATATATAGAAACAAAATATTTAGTTGCATCTCTTTCTCCAAAATGTAATCAATAATTCTAAATGTAGTCTGTTACTTGGTTGAGATTAGCTTAAAACAGCATAAGTTGTACATAATGGGGACTTATTTCTATGACAGAAATTAGTACTTTGAAAAACTTGTGTCACTGTGTTAGGCATCATGAAAGCTGTATACTTTACAAATCACCCATGGTCTCAGAAAGCACAAATATTTGTAAATAAAATGCCATTTTTTTTCTTTATTGCGCCCTTATAAGTACAGAAGGAAGTATGTTTGTTTCCTTTCTAGGGGAGCAGAGTAATATTTTTTCTGAATGTTCTGTATTTTCTATATTTATTACTGTTTCTATCCGTTCACTTCTGAGTATACGACAAAATATTTTTTTTGCCCTGTGTTAAGGATCATGACAGGAATCTTTAATTAATAGCAAGTTGCACTTGAAGCCAAAACCAGGGACACGTGATGTGAAACTCTGCATTCTTTGCAGTCCTGGGTGTCCAGTAGAAATTTAAATTCATGGTAGCAGGCTGTAATGCTGAAGCAAAAGAAACACAGTTTATTTGGGCTCTGGTCCTGCTTACTTTTGAAAAGCTCTGTATATTTTTTACAGAAAAATGCATATCTTCTTGTAGAAAGAATGAACAACAGAGTTTTCAAGGCCAAGATCCTTGGTGCCACTACAGAATGACAGATATTTCATGTCAATTCCCAGTTCTACAGCTCAGGAGGAAATTAAGCAGCTTTGACACTTATATATCAAAAGCACAGAAAACCCATGTAAACACATACTCAGAGTAGAAGTAAGAATGAACCGAAAATATTTTTAATGGTGATAGAGAGATGTTGGAAGCTAAGCACCATGCAGCTGCTCACTCATACCTGCGCCCTCCTGTCTCAGTGGGGTGGGGAGGAGAACTGGAAAAAAAAAAGGTAAAAGACATGGGTTAAGATAATAATTAATTAATTAAAATAGTTTGATGATTGAAATAATTATTATATTTATTATTAATACTAAATACAAAAAATAGCAAAGGAAATAGAGACAGCAAAACCAGAAAGGAATAAAACCCAAGAGAAACAAGTGATGCCCAATGCAGTTGCTCACCACCTGACTGATACCCAGCCTGGCTTGAGCAACTATTGGCCCCTCTTGGCCAACTCTCCCCAGTTTAAATACTGGGTATGACATTTTATGGTGTTGAATGCACACTTTGGCCAGTTCAGGTCAGCTGTCCCAGTTGTGCTCCCTCCCAGCTCCTTGTGCAGCTCCTCACTGGCAGAGCATGGGACACTGAAAAGTCCTTGACTTAGGGTCAGCACTGCTCAGCAACAGCCAAAACATCAATATAACTGTGTTTTCATTATCCTCATACCAAATCCAAAGTACAGCAGTGTACCAGCCACTAGGAGCAAAATTAACTCTATCCCAGCCAAAATAAGAACTATTCATAAGGCAAGTTTCTGTCTTGTGATTTTAGCCCACTGTAAAGGGAACTTTGCTGTTTTGCTGGAATCAAAACATACACATAGCTTTTGAGAAGACAATGAAATGTGTTTTGCTGGCAGAGTCATTCACAGCATCATCAATTCTGTGAGTGTTCTCTGCGTCCTGCAAATACTGAGTCAGGAAAATGTCACTTCAACTGTGTTTACATCCTTTTATGTTCATTTTAAAAAGATTAAAATAAAGGTATCAAGCTTTCTAAAATGGCAAATTTGAAAAAAAAATAAAAACAAACAAGTTAAAATGTTTGCTGAAACATATTTATTATTTCTATTAATTTCTATACCTTAATTTTTGATGCTTGATTATACAGATCAATCTGTCACAAAAGACATTGTGAGTTGTGTAAATAATCAAAAATAGAGAAATTTTGAATATTGATATTCACAAAAGAACTCTGATTAATTACTTCTGGACTATTTTTCAAGTAATTAAGAAAAAAACTTAAAGTTTCTCAATTCTCTTATGAATATTCTGAAAAAGAAAAAAAAAAATCACTCCCAACTGTTATTTTTTCACAGAACCACCGAATCAATTAGGTTGGAAAAGACCTCTGAGATCATTGAGTACTGCCTGTGAGCTGACACCACCATGACAACAAACCATGGCACTGAGTGCCACCTCCAGCCCTTCCTTAAACATCACTGGAGACAGTGATTTCACAACCTCACAGGCTGTAATATCTGATCTTCTTTCTGTGAAGAATTTCTTCCTGATGTCCAGCCTAGACCTCCCCTGGCAGCTTGACGTTATTTGTCCTTGTCCTGTCACTTGGTACCAGGGGGATGAGGCTGGGCCTCGCCTGGCTATGCCCTCCTTTCAGGCACTTGCAGAGTGTGATAAAGTCTCCTCTAAGCTCCTCTTCCCCAGGTTGAAGAGCCTCAGCTCCCTCAGCCACTCCTCACAGGGCACAGAACATGTGCTTTGTTCCACTTCAGTCACAGATCAAAAGATTCCTTTCCAGCTGACATCTCTGACTGAACACAACAACTGCTGCTGAGATTTACTCAGGTGTGGCAGATGAAAATCAGCTGTGTTGGGATCAGTCAAATGAAACAGACACTGCACTGCTACCTAGAGAGCAGATAGAAGGACACACACTGTCTCTTTAGATAGAACCCTACTAAAATGTGTGTCAAATAATAACAACAAAAACTTCAAAATAATTTGTACATTAAACATTTAAACATTTGTTACAGTAAGAAGCAGGGATACTCAATGTGTGTTGGAAAAAATCTTGAATTCTGTTGAACCCATTAATTTGTGCAACTAATTGATGTTCTATGCGTGGTATTCATTATCACTGAGAATACAGTTCTGTGTTACAAATGAAATGCAATTATTAGAGGTTTGCTTTGCCTTCATTTAGAAAAGCTTTTCAGTCTGCGCAACTTTTCCTTTTGCAATACTAAATACTTTTGCTTTAAGCATAATATGTGGTGGTTCTTTTGGTTTAGTTATTTAAAAGGAAAACCCAAACCAACAACTATAGGGTCATGTGCAAAGACCTCTCCAAAAATGTGTGACTTTATATATGTGTAAATGCAGGTTTGTTTGAACTGGACAGAGATCTCTTGACGCGTCTAAACTCTAAATGCATTAAAGCAGATTTGCTCTTCCTTCTGTGATCTCTGCATCTCCCCTTACCTGGCATGCCACTACACACCTGTTTAAAACCTGAAATATTGCAAATTCTGTCCTAGCTTTAAAGTTATTCTTTTTTACAGGAAGTTTGAAATTATCTTCTTTATTATGTGAACATGAAAATAACAAATCTTCTAGTATTAACATTTAGACCTGTGAGGCACACTCATAGTATAACTTTGCCTAACTTATCCAAGTTTTATATTCTGTGGTATATGCAGTCAGTGTAGTTTCTGCTCCTAAGGATGCATGTGCAATTTTGTGTGTGAGAGAATGTGCCTCTGATTCTTGAAAGGAGAGGAGTCCATTTCCTCAAAACAGGTTAAAAAAAAAAAGCCCACACTAACCTATTAATAATATAAAGTCCAAAAGATGCAAGGGTAAGTGGCAGCTGTCTGTCACTCTATGATTTTTGGGATGGCCATTTTTGGACACCTATAACTAACTTTTAAATGGAGTTATTTAAGCAAGAATTTATTACTTCAGTCTCAGCAGTGGATTTTGCACAAGCATTTCACGTATCTGTCCAGCAAATTGCTAAATTTTCTGTCACTGGAAGCAATGGTGTCTTTGCTCCCTTTTGCTTGTCTCTCTGGAATTGCCTGCCAGGGAAGGATTAGCATCCTGAGCTAAAGGAGGTGGTGGCATTACCTCTTTCTCTTTAGGATACCACTGAGAAGGAAGGTAGCAGCTTGCAAAATCCTTCCTTGGCTACTGAGTATCCCAAACTCCTTTGCTCCGTCCTGTTTCCACATGGTCTCACCCATTTTCAAGGTTATGACCACTTATTCAAATTCAGCTCCATCTTCTGCACTCACATTTCAGTTTTCCCCTCCTGTTCCCCATCTCCCCTTTGTGAGCAGGCTTTCTGCCACTCCGTGTCCACAGCTTGGGATCCTGCCAAGACAACTGAGACAGCAAGTCTGGAAATTGCCTATACAGCCTTGCTTGCTTTGCTAGACTGGAAAATTTTAAAAAATACTCTGGAAAGATTTATACAATGGATTGGCAGCTGATTAACAGAAAAACACACCCAGGAGCCAAAATGAATTTTGAGTAGTGTAGAAGGATGCCAGCTTAACAAAGATATTCACAGGACAGGTACAGGGACCAACTCCACCAACTTCTGCCACCCTCTCTGGGGAAATCTGATGACTGTGGTGAGAAACAGTCCCTGTCCCCCTGGATGTGATTGTGCATTGTAGTAAGACCTGAGGGTGAAAGAATAAAGGAAACAGTCTCATGAGGAATATATATGTCTCTTTAGGCTTTTTCCTTCTCTGAAGTTCATGGCAGCACTTTGGATTTCATTAGCATTTAGAGTAGGTCAGACCCATACCACCACTCCGATGTTTTTAATTGCTCAGCAGAACATTTTTTCATCCAAAGAAGATTAAAGTCATGTGACAAAAATTTTCAAGTCCTCTAACTTCAGGTAGGTTGTCTGTTAAATAATACTCTACTGAGATCAAAAGAATGGACAAGGGATCCCTGGATAACAAACACATCTATGGCAACATAAAGGTGCACTGTGTCATAAAGATATTTTCCACTTAGTTATTTTAATACACACAAAGAGAGTTAAGTCCAGTGTTATTCTTAATATGTCACAAACTTTGCTGCTTTTTTGTTGTTCCTTGTGAACTCCTTGATTTTCAGTATTGAAAACAGAATATTACAAGCATTGTAAAACCACCAGCAGTATGTTATCAGCCATTATTGTATTTTGCACTCCCCTGTATTCTCTAGTGCATGTTTTGTTTACTAAATTACAGTAATTCTAAGTGATTCTTTTGGAATAGCAGTAGGAATAATTGCTCTGATTTATATTACTCCAGTTCTGCAGTTTTCTCTTAGTATTTTCAAGCAAAAACCCATTTGAAGCACTGAACCAACAACATCTTTCTTGTTTCTGCGTTAGTTTTGAAAATACTGGATTTTGCTGAACTGAATGTTCATAGATTCAAAATGTATTAATGCAAAACTAAGTTAAAACACACTGAAGTTTTCTTGCCTACATGTAGCATATTCTTGGAACTTTTTAAGGACCCAAAGCCTCAACCAGGTATTTAAAAGAATTACTTGAAGTTTTCAATCAGACTTTTTTCAGCAGAAAACTGGTTTCAATAAAAGTTGTTCTTGTAAAATACTGACTAGCTTCAGCTAACTTTACTTTTAACAACTGACCTCTGAAAAGTAAAACATTCTCTTTTTCAGGCAAAAAATATAAAAACATTGACCCAAAGTAAATTGGAGAAAGTTACCGCTTTAGATAAAAAACATGTTGCTCCTTATTCCCTGATATGACTTGGAGTTGTCTTCCAAATGATAACTAGGCCATTCTCATGTCTTTGTATTTCATTTCTACTGTCTTCTTTGGGAAACATATCATCATCTTCCAATGAAAACTGCCTAAAACTAGTCAGAACAGACTCTTATTTCTGCGGGAAATATTCTATATTTTCTTACCCCCAAACCAAACAGTCTATCAGATAAAAGTCAAAACCTCATTGACACAGATAGTGTAGTAAGTTATTGATAGTATTTTTCAATGAAAATATAATTAAAACTTACTTTTCCTTTATAAAAAAAATTATATGTCCGTTGTTACTTCTCATTTTTTCTTCCCTCCCTATAGATTTAAATGTTCTAAGCTGTATGTTATTTTGCAAAATTTGCTGTGGAAAATGTCTGACACATGGCCTTGGGATGGTCGGTACAACAACTTGTGCTCCTTCTCTTATGGTAGAGGTCACAGCAAAATTCA